TGGAATAACATCCACAATTACATTATAAGGTTAAGGTTGCAAAGTCAAACACTCAAAGTTAGGCTATATCAGAATTAAGGGTTGCCTTTACACCCCCCCAATTTGACCCATTGTGTCATAGTACATAAGCACAGATTACATAAGTAATGTGAGATTACTTGTCTCATTCAGTGTGTGAAGATAGGTTTGTGAAGCCCTTGGATTCTAAAGGGATTAGGGGTGATATGAGCAACCTGAAGTCTGACATTTAATAGTTTAAAATAATATCAAGGGTACAATTCAAGTACTTAGTAGTTTTTGTAGGACTTCCGGTTCTGTTAAAGCATATTGAGCCACAGTCCATGTTGTGAAGTGTACCAAGGCTTTGATCCACTTTGTTCCAATTGAAATTCCCAAAGGTTTTCTGGTTAGGTGGTTGACTAAATATTTCAGAGATGGTATGGAGCAAACACTGCAGTGGATGGGGCAGCATTCATACCCATTTACCATGTTAGCAGAATGGAATTGGAAAGGCAAAGACAAAAAATGGAACACAAAGCTTGACTTGGAGAAGGGTTTAAAGATATTCTATCAATTCTACATTAGAAATTTAGGTACCCCTCTCACGTGCATTTCTACCTCTGGGAAAAGTCTCTTGACTCAAAATCATCTCTCCAATTAGTAGAATTGTTGGTAACCATTCAAGTTAATTCCTTGATTCTGAGGGCAAACTGTAACTTACATGTATGTCCTTTTGCAAGTGAGTAAACCAGCTTCATTTATGTAAGGCTCTTTAGAATATCTTTTAGTTCCTTCTGTTTGCTCCATTTGTCTTCTCATTTCCTTCTCAGGCAGCTATTTGGTAAAGCATTGTGGATATAAAAATTAAATGTCATACACAGCTGGATTAAACAACAGTATTGTAATCATTAGAAAGCTGTCCCAACTGCATGGGATTGTAAAATTCAATCTATAGAATAGCAGTATCAGAATAGGACTGACTTTTTAATGTGGACCTTACTGATGAGACGTAGCAAACTCTGTTCATGCACATTTGCCAATCATTAGTTACACTTCTGTAACTATTTTCCATTTCCCAAAAATAGGCAAAACTGACCATCTAAAATACCACTTTTATAATTGTTGATAAATGACCACCACTCTCCTACAGCTCCTATTGAAAGCCACCACATAGCCTCTAAAGCAGGAACACTGAGGTAGTACAAGCCCCCAGCTTTCTTCTTCTAAGCCAGGGGTGGGTAATAATTTTTGATGGGGGGGGGGGAGGGGGGCATGTCACAAATTTTGGAAGTGGTTTCTGGTTGCTCCTGAAGGGGTTGGGCCTTGGGTGAAAAGGGGCTGCTCCTTCTAGGAGACTTTAGGTGCTCCCCCACCCCCAGGCCAATCAGGGTCTAGGGGTGGGGGAAAATACAGTCTCTCTCCTCTCCACCCTGTCAGGAGTGTGTGGTGCCTACAGAGAACCACTAGCTATTTTCAAGAGCTGGTGGTTCCCTCAGGTGCCTTTTGCCCAAGATCCTGTATACCTCTTTTTTTTGGAGGAGTACAGGATCTTTCGAAAAAAGGGTTTTATTTTTGAAAGATCCCCATCTTAACTGCCATTTTTCTATCAAAAAGCTCTGTGTCAGAACACCCCGTGGCCTCCATTATGCAAATGAAGCATGGAAAATTTAAATCCCAGCTTCATTTGTGATTTCGAAGTGTCTAATTTACATCCCTTTTTCGAGAAAGGGATGTAGT